GAGCAGGGAGCCTGATGTGGGGCTCGATCCCGGGACCCTGGGATCATGACCTGAGCCGAAGGCAGACGCTTAACGACTGAGCCACCCAGGCGCCCCACAGTTGCTAATGTTAGAAGCTAAGATACAACATGACCTCTGTGCTTAGAGCAAATGTAGTGTCATTTAGAAAGTGAATTGATTGCAGACCCAGAACTTATCTTACACTTTTGCCAGCTAAAATTGGGTTTGGGGAATAATTTGCTATTTTGGATGATCTCCTTTAAAATTTTATAATACATATACTCACATACATACAAACATCACACATATATATGTACATATATATGACTTCATTTTAAATGATTACCTAGTTCAAATGTCCTTACCGGGATTTACAGAAAATGTAACACTATAATGTAGTCTCCTGTTTCTGAGTCAGGCTGTGACAATAAGACGGGAATCATGTACAGCATTTAGTAAAGATTGATCGGTTATTTTTCCCTTCCATTTGCAGCATTTGTTTTAGAGCAGATTCTTAGCTTGATACCCAGAACATGTAACACAAAAGATAAGAGGTAGCTGTATGGAGCTAAGTTAGTAAGTCCAAATGAGACTTGGCTCACATGAAGAGTATATCATAGCTTTTGGGACAGATGTGAATTTCAGGGAGAAATGCTCTTTGTTTTCAAGACCATGCTTCCCCACATTATAGTTGTCCTTCATGTGGCCTACTCAGCTCTTTAATTTTATGCTAGATCTGAGTGTGTTTTTGTTTTCTACATCACTGGAATCTTTGAGTAGATCTTTTTTGCTGGCCGGGTGATGTGAAGCACCAGGGTTTGAATAAGAGTCCAGGAAGTGCGCTGGGGATGATTTTTTTGTATTGCCAGGAATGCTGACATGTTGGCACTGAATTAATGTTTCCAAAAATGCCATCAAACGCTGCCTGAAAACAGAGATATTAGTGTTGTCACCACAGCTGTGTTCTTTGCGCCTTTAACCAGTTTCTTCTATGCATAGCAAGAAATTGTAAGTCCCCTAGCATAAGATGAAAATGAGTGAGTTTTGTGTACTATACTATAATGCGACTGGTTGCCCCCCCAGTATTTGTGCACATGGGATTGAGTTAAGCTATTTGTGTGGAACTGTCCCTGGTATCATGGATATTGTTTTTTTGTTTTAAACAAATGGAATATCTGTGAGGGACTATGGTGCCCAGATTATTACAGAGGAAGTATTTCACTTTTTCATTAAATATTTATTGATCACTCTCTCAAATACTCAGTTTTATAGAGGATAGGGTATATACATAAATTTCTCTGCTACACTGTCACCACTGAGCAAATGGTGAAATGTTCACCCAGGTATCTTGTTACAATGGTAGAGAGGACAAGGTCCTCCCATCCTGAACCTTGGACTTCTGTGCTTCCTTTTGGGTCTATTACTCCACATTTTGTAATGTGAGTCTCTCAGTAGACTTTTTTTTTTTAATGTGAATGCCACTCTTTATTTTTTTATTGTGTTTCTCCTAGTAGGACCACATTTTCTCCTTATGTAATGAAAATCCTTTGGAGATTCTGGCTTTTCTCATTTATAGGTCTAGTAGTTTAATTTACAAACTTTTGCAGTACAATCCTACTTGCTCTTCCCATTCAATGTAGTTTTATCAGTTAACTTTTTTCAAGTTCCATATTTGGAACTAGATCATGGTGGGTTAAAAACATCAGAGGTGCCAGTGGATCGAAATAGAATTACTTGGATCTATTAATCTCAATCTGGCAACCTCAGATAATGGGAAAGACAGGCCAGAGGCCTGCTTGTCTTTTCCCTTTCTCCTTTCCTCCCCTTCTCCTCCTGTCCCTCTATAAAATTATCCATCTATTTTTTTAAAAGATTTTATTTACTTATTTGAGAGAGAGAGAGCAGGAGATGGGGGAGGGTCAGAGGGAGAAGCAGGCTCCCTGCTGATGCAAGACTCGATCCAGGGACTCCAGTATCATGACCTGAGCTGAAGTCAGTCACTTAACCAACTGAGCCACCCAGGCGCCCTATCCATCTATTTTCTTAAAATTTTTCTATTGATGGACAGCACAATGTCACATTACTTTCAGGTGTGCAACCTAGTGATTTGACAACTGTATACATTATGCTATGCTCACCTCAATTGTAGCCACCATCTGTCACCATACAGCAGTGTTATAGGACCATTGACTATATACTGATGCTGTACCTTTCATCCCTGTGATTTAATTTATTCCATAACTGGAAGCCTGTTAGCTCTGACTCCCCCAGAGTATGGCACACTTCCTGATTAGCCATACTAATCTTCTTTGTATTGTTCCAATTTTAGTATGTACTGCTGTTAAATGAGCACATATCTATCTCTAATTTTTTATTAAACTCTTTCAAATACTTAAGCAAATAATGAAATAAAGCATTATGCATAATAATCATCGAGCTTGTTAAAAATAATAATTCCTGAATCTCTGGATGGGGGAAATAGGAATCTACCTTTTGAATAGGCTTAAAAATACTTGACTCTCATTAAAGTGGTCCAGGCATTGCACATCCAGAAACAATGAAATAAAAGCAAATAAGAGTGCTTCTTTGGCCAATGAAATTTATGAGTTTGATTGCCTAGTATTTATTTCATATGGACTCATAAATGGGAAAAAAAACTTACCTGGTTTGGGGGTGCCTGGGTGGCACCGTCGGTTGAGCATCCAACTCTTGGTTTTTGCTCAGGTCATGATCTCAGGGGTCATGAGATCAAGCCCTGTGTTGGTCTCTGTGCTCAGTGCAGAGTCTACTTGAGATTCTCTCTCCCTCTACCTCTGCCCCTCCCACATGTGTTCTCTCTCTTTCTCTCAAACAAATAAATCTTAAAAAAACCCAAAAAAACAAAAAACAAAAAACAAAAACCTTACCTGGTGGATAACATATTTATAGTTGGAGAAGATTATATGCCCAGGCGGGTCTTATCCCCTTTAGGATTTTATTCCATTTGCATTTGTATAAGAGTGTGCCACAGGATAAAAGGTAAAGTTGTCCTCCTCTTCCATAAAAGGCCAGCCTAGTTACAGTTTTCCCTATAAAACAACACAATTTTAGGAATGAGCAAAGGTCAGCTATTACAGTTATGGTGAGTTATGATAAAGATGTTGCTAATCTTTTTGGTTTGACTTTGAAACATCTTATTTAATTATTTCATGCTACCACCTTTTAGAAGTCTGTTTTCCCCCATCAAGAATGAAGTGTTTGAAATATCAGGTACCTTTCTGTAGCTCGGTAATAATGATTTCTTGAAAAGAGTCTGTGTGAGAAATTTTCTAAACTGGTATTATATTAACTCATCGACACCACCAGAAAGCATAAATGAGACATTTTCTCTTGGTCCTATCTCAGACTTACTAGATCAGAATCTCCTGTTGAGAGTCAATTATAAAGTTCTCAGAGGGATTCTACTGTAGCCAGCCTGCCTCCTTCCATACTGTACTTCCACGAACTTCTTTGAGAATATTTAAGTACATTTGAATACATATTTGAATACATATTCAAATGACTTGTTTCACATCCTTTTTCCTACTCCGTCAAGTTTTGTACATAGTTGGAGCTCACTAAATCTTTATTAAATTTTTGTATTGGACATTTGATGGGAATGTTAAAAAATAAGTTTTATTCTCGAATTAGAATGTTTTGTTGTTTTGTCACCTTCTAGGATGGAAAGAAGAAGTTTGACAAGGAAAGTGAAAAGTACTATTCTATTCTTGATAAACATTTAAATTTGTCTGCAAAGAAAAAGGAATCTCATTTGCAAGAGGTAAGCTTTTCCACTTGAAATGTGAACAGGACATTAGCTTTAAGGCATGTGATGTCCAAATTTCCAAAGGTCGTAGTATCTCAGAATCTGCTACTCTATAATAAAATAATGATAATAAGAGTTAATTGAGTACTTAAAATGGACAGACACTGTGCTGAGCATTTCACATGCCTTATGACCCTTAATATTAACACTTCCAAGTAAAAGATTAGTTATTTCCTTCAATGATGAGAAAGAATGAGATAAGATTTTTTTCTTTTTTTTCTTATTGGGTATATTTTCAATGGCAGGACCTACCTACCAAATTGATGGAATAGTTTTTTCTAATATCTGCTTTTAAGGTGTTGCTTTGCAGTAGGGGGAAAACAGATACACAATTACACATTTAAAAATCTCTATTTTATATCAATTTTCTTAAAAAACAAGTCAACAGAAATATTTTAACCTCTATGCATTTAAGCAATCCATTTCTTCTTTTTTCTGAAATATTTATTCTCATTGGTAATTTTTGAGTATAACTAATAAAATTGAGTAGTCCTTTTACTAAGGCATAATACAGTTCCAGTACAGTGATGAGATACATTCATTTTTTTATTATGTTAATCACCATACATTACATCATTAGTTTTTGATGTAATGTTCCATGATTCATTGTTTGCGTATAACACCCAGTGCTCCAGGCAGAATGTGCCCTCTTTAATACCCATCACCAGGCTAACCCATTCCCCCACTCCCCTCCCCTCTAGAACCCTCAGTTTGTTTCTAAGAGTCCATAGTCTTTCATGGTTCATCTCCCCCTCCGATTTCCCCCCTTCATTCTTCCCTTCCTG